AAATTGTCTCATGTCGAGGTTTGCAAGAGTACACCCTAGTAAAAATGCAGAAAAATTGAATCAATAATAGAGTGAAGACTGCTCTCGCAACCATTCTCCTTACAGATTGAGAAAAACATAAATATATACACATACATACATGATACATAAAATTTGCATCAAACATTTAGCATCATATGTAATAAAGACATTTTTCTCCTCACTTGAGGACAAATTCAATAAAAATCAAATAAATTTCATCTTAACATCCAAGATAGTCAGTCAAAAATGCATCATTTTAATCTCTGAGGAAATCAAAGCTCGGAAATGACCAGATATCATTAACTTGAAGAAACAATGATTTGACTTCATGAAGTCAACAATCAAGGCATTTCCTCAACATGCATGAACAAGCAGACTTTTTATCGTCTTGAGGGTGTTTTTCTTGAAACAAATTTTATCTCGCTTGAGATAGTTTTATTAAAAACAAATTTTGTCTCGCTTGAGACATTTTATCTCGGAATACAAATTTCAAAGTTGTTTTACTTGAAACAAAGTTAATCACACTTGATATTTTCAAAGCTAATTCATCTAGCTTGAGACAGTTTTCCCTTTAAACACAAATTCTGAAATTGTTTCGCTGGAAATAAAATTTACTATCTTTGAGATCGTTTCTCTTGAAACAAATCTTATTTTTCTTGAGACATTTTCTCATGAAACAATAAATCATCTTTGAGTCATTTCCCTTGAAACGAATTTTGTCTCTTGAGACAGTTTCTCTTGAAACAAATCTTTGAGTCTGTTCCTCTTGAAAAAAATCTTTGAGTTTTTTCTTTTAACAAAATCATCTTTGAGTATATTTCTTTAAAAACAAATTTTGTCTCTCTTGAGACAATTTCTAATGAAAAACTAACCTTTGAGATTGTTTTCTTTGAAACAAATTTTGTCTTACTTAAGACGTAATCCATCTTTAAGTTTATTTCTTTGGAAACAAAATGTTATATCTCTTGAGACAGTTTCTTTTGAGAAAAATCGTTGGGACTGTTTCTTTGGAAACAAAAATTACCATCTTTGAGTCTGTTTCCCTGGAAACAAAACGAACATATATGAGATTGTTTCCCTCGAAACGAATTTTGTCTGAATTGAGACAGTTTCCCATGAAACACCGATCTTTGAGAACGTTGCCCTTAAAAATAAATTTTGTCTCGCTTGAGACAGTTTCCTTTAAAAGTCATCTTTGTCCCTTGAAACGAGTTTCGTCTCTTTCGAGATAGTTGCTTTTGAAACACATCATATTTGAGTTTATTTTTCTTGAAACAAATCTTTGAGTCGGTTTCCCTTGAAACCATTATTCCTAAAGATGGTCTGCCGTTCTCATCACGTAGGAATCGTGTCATCCCCCGACCAGATCTTCTCATCACGTAGGAGCCGCGTCAACCCTAGATAACATGTCGTCCTCATCACGTAGGAACTGTGTTATCACCCTCCTAAAGATGGCCTGCCGTCATCATCGCTAGGAACCGTGCCACCCCCGACTAGACCTCTTCATCACGTAGGAGCCGTGTCACCCATAGATAACCAGTCGTCCTCATCGCGTAGGAATCGTGTTATCGCATTTCCTAAAGATGGCCAGAACTCTTCATCAAGTATGACCAATGTCATCCCCCGACCAGATCTCCTCATCACGTAGGAGCCGAGTCACCCTTAGACTACCAAACCTCTTCATCGCGGATGAGCCGTGTCGTCCCCACCAACAAACATATCAAATTTTAAAACAAAAAAAGAGCCAGACAAAAACTTGTCTTTTTCGTCTTTGCCCTATTATTGTTAACACAAGAATGTGCAAAGAGGGGCAGCTGTAGACACCCGTTTTTGTCCGGGTCTACAAAAATATTATATTTATTATTATTATTATTATATTTAAATTACAATTTACATTTTTTTGCAGGGCCCAATTGAAGCCCAAAATATTAGACCTTCAGTATCAGACCCAACCCAGTCCAACCCAACACCGGCCCATTTGGTAAACCTTAAACATATTAGGGTTTTTACCCTAATCAGTTCAACAGCCGCCTCGACAGATAAAAAGCCACACCGCCACCACTGTTCCGGCCCATTCCCGACAAACCAACCACCGTTTGCACGTCACCATCATCATCTACAGCAAGACAAATCAATAAAATATCATATACAGAGAAAAAAATCAATCTACAGTGCACCAATAATAACCAAGTCAGAAACCCCATATTTAAATCCCTAAAAATCAAGATTTTTCAGTCACCAAATCATAAACCCATTCCCGAATCTAAAATCACATACCCCTATTCTAGATATCATCATCATCTCACTAGAAATACAGGGGGAAGCAAACATAATAATACAAAGAGAGAAAAATAGAGGACATTCGGGTTCATAGAAAAAAACGAGAGAGGGAGTGAAAAATAGAAAAAACGATAGAGTATAACCATCAAAAAATAAAAAGAGTGAGATGAGACTTATCTTTCCCTCATCGGAACGGTTAAGGGGCGGTGGCTTTTGGGTTTCCTCGTCTGTTGAAGGAGAATAAAGGGGAAATAGAGAAGAAAGAGAGCACGGTTGAAAGGGGGTTTGAGGAAATAAATTAGGGTTTCAAAATAACCCCTAAAAGGGATTATATCCCAACCCTGGAGCGATACCATTTTGATCTCAGCCCGCGTGTTATGTGTTTTTTGGGGATAACTTGGTTTTTAGTCCCTTCGTTTTGTAAGCCTTACAATTTAGCTGTGAATAAAAAATTAATTCCTTTTATTTCATGCTACTTAATATATTTCCAGTTCATTCTAGTCCCTATTTGGTTATTGATGTATTTTTTATGGTTTTGGATTTGGTTAAGCATTTTTATTAACTTTCAGTTTAATCCCTAGTTGTTGTCATATTACTTTTATTGTTATTTTAATTTGACTACTAATTTATGATGTTTTCATTTTGGCCACTAGATTTATTGGGTTAATCATGATTTAGATACCTAGATCTTTATCATGTTTTTACATTATAGTCATCAGGAGGCTCATGTTCTTTGTTTTTTCTGATATTGACATTCTGTTTTATTTTGTTTCAATTTGGTCACTATGCATGTTGTTTTGTTTATTTTGAAATCGACCACTGATTTTTATTCTTTTTCATTATAGTCATTGATTCATTTTTTTTTTATTTTTTTATTTTACGATTCTGATATTGTGTTCTTAATTTATGCAGTTTAGTCACTTGTTTTTAAAGCTTATTAATCTTATGTTATTTGCATTATAGTATGCCATGTTTGCATGATTACATATTAACCCATGTTATAATATTCTTGTACATATTCTGCTTCAAATGTATTGGTGCGTGTCTTAATTTATTTTTATTTTATTTCATTACATACACATGCTATTTCATATACTCACATACATATTTATTAAATTTGTTTTTTACCTTTTATGTTCATATATATATATATATATATATATATATATATATATATATATATATATATATATATATACTAATGTATATTCCATTTTATTCAATTTGATTTATTTTAATTTGTAAAATATCTAGTTGTCAATATTTTATTTATTCGAATATTTTCAAGAGCAACGATTTGTAGAATGGGCGTGGAAAACATCGCTTGATCGAAGTGGTGTAATCCGATACGATATTCAAACAAATGTGAACTTGAAATAAAATTGATTTTATTTTGCTAATTAATTCTTGTTATTTTAAGTTGAACAATGTGATGCATGTCACTAAATAGCGATTTATTCTATGCAAAAATGTCGATTTTTAATTTATATTTGATTCCCGTTTTATAGAAGAGGGAATATTCTTTACAGATAAAAAATAGTCGAAATAGTTTTCCCAACGGAGGATTGCTAATCTCGAGATTTATTTTCAAGTTAAAGAATTTTCCCTAATGTTTGATTCGAAGCAAATTAATTAAACTCAATAAATAGATCATATTTTAACTTTATATTCGATTAATGATTTCCACCATTTATTACAACGTGTAAGCGACACATCACCAATTTTGGGCGATGTGGGGGTGATAATCCTTCTCCACGCGTAACAGACTCCCAAACCTATCAAATCGAATTTCTGGTAAACGCATATCGAATTTTGTCTTAAAAAATGATTTTTCTGAAATTTTTTTAAAAGACATTTTTAGGTATTTGACCTACCTAACTCAAAAGTCGATGACGACTCTTTTCCTTTTTAATTCAAATTAATCCAAAATCATCAATTTTTTCAAATTAAATTCATAATTATTTTTAAAATAATATTTTAATTGTTTTTCTAAAAGATGGTTATGACAATATATTCGGTGGAAATGCCCCATTGAATATAAAATTTTCAAGAAATCCCCTGAACTGAAAAAGAAGGGGGAAATTGAATATTATTAGAGGGGTTTTGGTTCTTGAAAATATCATTATTAGAGAGATTAATCTTTTTTGAAATTGTATTTTCATGTTTGGTCCGTGAAAAGATCATTATCGGGTAATAATTTATTATTAATAGTAGTATTTTTTAGTTAAAATGACGAGAATGTCATTACTTTCAAGTTCTTAGGTAATGGATAATTTCCACCATTTTGGACACAAATACCTCTAAAATAATGAATTCTTTTCATATAAATCATTCTCAATTTTTATTCTCTGTGTTTTACTCAAAATTATAAACTTAATAGTAATAATATACAAATAATTTAATTTAGTAAAATATTAATAAATTTGAATAGTTAAAATTATTATATATTTTTAATATTTGCATATTAATCATTTTATAACTTTATATCAGGGTGAGCAAAACTCAAATCGAAAAAAGTTTCAAATTCAAATCAAGTTATAAAATACAATTCGAATAACTCAAAATTTTTTGTAATTAGTAAATTTTATTTTTAAGTTTGACTTGAGTCCTTAGACTTTGTACAATGTCTTATCCGATCATCATAAATGAAATAGGGGGGGGGGGAATTTACGTGGACTGCGTCAATTTGATCCCTTATCCCTTATCTTTTCCTTTTTTGTAGAGAAGGCCTTTCATCTCTGTTTCGTCGTGCTGATTCTTTAGGAGAGTTCAAAGGAGTTCGACTTAATAGTCGTGCGCCTGTGATATCCCATTTGCTTTTCGCGGACGATAACCTCATTTTTGGCGAAGCATCAGCTCGAGTAGCTTCTCAACTAAAGAACATCCTATCATGGTATGGCAGCTCTTCCGGTTAGGTGATATACTTTGATAAATCTAACTCATTTTTTAGTTCAAATGTTGTTGATGAGAACAAGAGGGATGTCAGACGCATTTTAGGGGTGAAGAATGAAACTAGCCCGGAGAAATACACGGGCCTGCAGCAATAGTCGGGCGGAATAAACGTGGTGCGTTTTCGCATCTGCTTGATAAGTTTCAGAGCCGGATAAGAGGCTGGTGTGTTCGTGTTCTCTCCCAAGGTGGTGTTCATTAAATCCGTGTTATAAGCTCTTCCTCTTTATGCGATGAATTTTTTCTTCTCCCTATAGGGCTTTGTAAGGAAATGGAGGGGATTATGGCTCGGTTTTGGTGGCAAAAATCCGAAGGTAGATGCAAGATTCACTGGTGCTCCTGGGATAATCTATGCCTTCTGAAGGAGAATAGTAGACTCGATTTTAGGGATATGGCTAAATTCAATGTTACTCTTTTGACCAAACAAGGGTAGAGGTTGTTTTCAAATCCGTCTTCACTTGTGGGCCACCTGCTGCAAGCGAAGTATTTCCCTTTGGGTAACTTTATGAACTCCAATCTTGGTTCATCTCCCTCTTATATTTGGCGGAGCACATGGAGTGCCAAGGGACTATTGTTAAGAGGCTTGCGATGGAAAGTGGGCTTAGGGTCTTCTGTCTCTATATAGAACGACTATTGGCTCCCGAGATGAATAGATTCTAGCCACAATGACTCTGTTGAATATGTGGCAATTTTAATTCATGCAGATACGAGAACAGTGGAAGGAAGATCTGATATTAGGGTTGTTTAATGAGGAGGAAGCTGAGATGATTTTGAGTATTTCGATTTCAAGGTTAACTCAAGAGGATTGTTTGGTTTGGAGTGGTGAAAAATTGGGTGTGTTAAGCGGTAGGAGTGGTTACCGTTTGTTAATGGATAGGTCATAGTTGGATAGTTCGATTAAAACCATTTACAATCAATTATGGGCCTGTGCGTGTCAACGGAAGATTAAATTGCAAGTATGGCGCTTCACTCGTAATTTATTCCTACTGGATAGAACCTTTTCACAAAACGCATATCAGGTAATCCTTGGTGTGTGTGCTTTGTACGAGTATGGTGGAACTAGCTCGTTTAGTGTGGCCTGCACTGGGATACAATTGGCCCACTGCTCCGGGTAAGAACTTTTTCTATTGGTTTTGTTGGCTCGTTAATCAGTATAATTCACATAGGCATACAGAAATAATTGTCACTCTCTGGGCATTGTGGTTTGCAAGAAACAAGCTTATGCATGAGGGCATACAACTGAGGGCTGAGGAGATTATTACCTTAGATTGTGCTCAATGCCTGGATTCATTGCAGCAAACACAAATCATCGAGGAACTTCGGTGCTTGCTGCTGTTCATTGGATTCCTCCCATCTCGCCGGGTTTCAAAGTAAATTTTGATGCGAGTTACATGCAGGCACAGAATCAATCATGGTCAGGGATGATGGTTCGCAACAGCGAGGGTTTCATAATAGGGGCGTGTCGAAGAAGGGCGATGAGGATTACCTCAATTTTTCTGGCAGAGGCAACTGCTGCAGTTCACGCTGTGGAGTTTGCACTTGATCTAGGACTCCAGGATGTATCACTAGAAGGAGACGAGCGATCTGTTGTCAAAAAGCTAGCTTCAACGGAACCTGACCGGTCAGTCATCAGCGTAACCGAGCTACTTCTTTCCAGACATGCTCTTTCCACTTTACTCCGCTTGAAGGTAATCGGACTGCTCATCTCCTGGCAGTTGACAAGGGTCTGGGAACTGAAGATCATTTCTAGGTAGAAGAAGCTCCTAGCTGCATTGTGAACCAAGCTGCGGACGATCGAAGGTGGGTTGATCCTCCTTAGTCGTCGATCTTCGATCTCTATTCTGTTTAGACTATCTTTTTCTATTTTATTCCTTGCATTTCGCATTTTACAAAGATATGGAGATGGTGCGAGGAAGAGAAAAAGATGAAAAAGCAGAGTACAATTCTTGGAGAAGCAGAAAGGAAACCAAGAGCCATAGTTAACCGTGTCCGTAATGTTGTGGCCAAGTCTCTCCACAGCAAGAACGAATTAAGGCAAAAGTGGGTCCCCTTGACGGATTCTTCTTTTCGGCTTGAAAGTTTCGGAATAACAACCATTCCATTGGACTTGAAAAGAACTACTAATGCACCTCATAATAACATCAATAATACCATAGGGAAGGTCAGCATCCATAAAAGTGTCGCGAATAAAATCCCAACAGATTCGGTCAAAAGCTTTTTTCAGATCAACTTTGATTATCATCCATCCCTACTTAGACTTGGTAGCGCACATCAAGTGAGAAAATCCCTGATTTATAATGATGTTGTCTGTGATATTTCTCCCTTAGTTGAAGCTTGTTTGATTTGGGGTAATGAGAAAATCACACCAAGGTAGATTCCCAGGAAATAGGAGGGGTCACAATGGTCCCTCTTAAAACCCACTTTCCTTAGACAGAACTACCAAGACAAGTAATTTTAATAGGACAATAATTAACAATAACTATACCCGACAATAGCTATTAAATAGACATTAAAAGAGAACACCAAAATTTAACGAGATTAGGTCAAAATTTTACCTACCTCCTCGAACACTACTAAAATAATATTTCACTAATAGATGAAATATTACAAAGAGAAAAAGAGTACAAATAGCCTTTAATAGTGAAGAAGGCTTATATTTGTAGGATGATAAACTAAGGAGAAGGAGGGCTCTATTTATAACAAAAGAATTTCCCCTCCTCCTTATACAAAACCAATGTGGGATATTTGCCAAAAACCAACAAATCTTCACCTTGGCAAATTTCACACACGTCTCTCAAAAAATCCAATCTTCAGTAGTGTCTGCAAATTCTTTTTTCAATTTGTAACAATATTGACCAAGTCTAAACAATGTTTAAACTTGGTCGCAGTTACCACTTTTGTCAACATATCAGCAGGATTCTCAGTGGTCCGAATCTTCTGGATTATGACTCCACCTTCTTCTAGAATCTCTCGTACAAAGTGATATCGAACATCGATGTGCTTCGTCCTTGCATGGTAAACTTAGTTCTTTGCTAAATGAATAGCACTCTGACTGTCACAGTGCACTTTGATGTGCTTTTGTTCCATTCCCAATTCACCAAACAACCCTTGAAGCCAAATTGCCTCCTTCACAGCCTCTGTAACTGCCATATACTCTGCCTTTGTAGTAGACAAAGCCACTGTTGACTGTAAGGTGGACTTCCAACTGACTGGTGCTTTTGCAAATGTAAACACATAACCAGTAGTTGATCGACACTTGTCCAAATCACCTGCATAGTCTGAATCACAATACCCAACTACACACTGACCATCTTGTTTGTCATGCTGAAAGACCAAACCAACATCTACGGTGTTCAGAATATACCACAGAATCCATTTCACAGCTTCCCAATGCTCGTTTGACATGTATTCCCGTTCTGCATCATCCTTAGGTGACATGGATGCACTGAGCTTGAAATGAGGAGCAATAGGTGTACTAACTGGTTTTGACTTCTCATTCATGCCAAAACATTTTAGTACCTTCCTCAGATATTCTTTCTGAGACAAACAAAGCCTCCCCAATTTTTTATCCCTTGCTATCTCCATGCCTAGAATCTTCTTTGCTTCACCAAGATCTTTCATCTCAAACTCCCTGTTCAATTGAGTCTTTAGTTTCGTAATTTCTGTCTGACTCCTGGAAGCTATCAACATATCATCAACATAAAGAAGAAGATATATATAGGATCTGTCTTGTAGCTTGCGTAAATACACACAATGAACATATTTGCTTTTTGTGTACTTCTGCCCTATCATAAACTTGTCAAATCGCTTGTACCACTGCCTTGGAGATTGCTTCAATCCGTATAGCGATTTTTCTAATTTGCACACCATTTCTTTTTTTTTCAGCAACTTTGAATCCATCTGGCTGAGTCATGTAGATTTCCTCATCCAAGTCTTAATGTAAAAATGCAGTTTTTACATCCATCTGAACTAGTTCCGAATCCAACTGTGCTACCAAAGCCAACAAAATTCTGATGGAGGAATGTTTTACAACTGGAGAAAATACTTCATTATAATCAACTCCCTCCGTTTGAGCGTAGCCTTTAGCCACCAATCTTGCTTTGTAGCGGATGTTATTCTTGTCAGGAAATCCATCTTTCTTTGCATATACCCACTTGCACTCAATTGCCTTCTTTCCCTTCGGAAGACAAGCTAGTTTCCACGTCTGATTCTTTTGAAGGGATTGCATATCTTCATTCATGGCGATCCTCCACTTTTTATGTTCTGAACTTTGGACTGCTTCATTAAAAGTGGCAGGAACGTCATCAATTGCAATTGGTGATGCAAAAGAGACCATATCAGCATAACGAGCAGGTTGTCTAATGGTCCTCTTTCCCTTTCTGAGTGCAATTGATTCATGTTGCTGTGGAGGTTCTTAGGTCTGAACCTCTTCTTCATCTGACTCTTCTTCTACCATAGGAGAGTCAACATCAGTTTTTTTACTGGTTGGGTCAATTCTGCTTCCTTCAAACTCCACCTGTTTGTGAGTTCCATCTGTCTGCTCCAATTTTTCTGAAGTCACCTTTCTCAACATGGTAGATTCATCAAAGGTAACATCCCTGCTAAAGATTATTTTCTTTGTTTCTGGACACCAAAGACGATAGCCTTTCACACCAGAGGTGATCCCCATAAAGATCACCTTCTTTGCTCTTGGATCCAGCTTTAACTCCTTAACATGGTAGTATGCAGTAGAACCAAACACATGTAAGGAATCATAATTTGTAGCAGGTTCTCCAAACCATTTCTCTAATGATGTTTTACCACCAATAGCAGTCGATGGTAAGCGGTTGACAAGATGACAAGCATAGACCAAAGCCTCAGCCCAAAATTCTTTGCCTAACCCAGCATTAGACAACATACACCAAACCTTCTCCACTAATGTCCGGTTCATACGCTCTGCCACCCCATTCTGTTGTGGTGTACTTCTGACAGTGAAGTGCATGATAATACCTTCTTCTTCACAGACTTTCAGAAATGGATCATTTTTGTACTCTCCACCATTGTCTGTACGGAGACGTTTGATTTTCCTACCTGTTTGAGTCTCCACCATCTTTTTCCATTTATGGAAAAATCCTAGCACCTCATCCTTTGTCTTCATTGTATACACCCAAACTCTCCGGGAAAAATCATCAACAAAGGTGACATAATAGTGTGTTCCTCTCAATGAAGTTGTCTTTGAAGGCTCCCATACATCTGAATGAACATAATCCAAAATACCTTTAGTATCATGGATTGTTGTTCCAAATTTCACCCTCGTCTTCTTCCTTTTGATGCAATGCTCATAAAAAAGCTAATTTGCAAGCCCGAGCACCCTTCAATAATCCTTGATCTATCAACAATTTCAAGGATTTTTCACCAACATGCCCCAAGCGCATATGTCATAGCCTGGTTGCTTCTGACTCCAGTTCATCAGTAGAAGCTGCCACTGCTGCTGTCCCAACAATTTTACTACCCAGAAAGTAATACACATTGTTTCTTTTCCGGATTTCCTTCATTATCACCAGTGCACCAGAGATAATCCTCATAATCCCATATTTTGCCCTCACTTCTAAACCTTTTGACTCTAAGGTTCCCACAGAGATGAGATTTCTCATTAAATCTGGTACATAATGGACACCTGTTAAGGTTCTGATTGATCCATCTTGATTCCTCAAGCGAATTAAACCAATCCCAAGTGTGTCAAGAGGGGAATTATTTGATGTGTAGACAATTCCACCTTTTATTTCTTTAAAATCAAAGAATCATTCTCTATTGGGGGTCATATGGTGGCTACAAGCTGAATCTAACAGCCATGAACTGGAACAGCTGGTTGATGGCGTAGCAGCGAATGCGAAATCTGAATCTGCATCATCATACTCGACCACATTTGATTCTGAGACAGCCTTTCCCCTTCCAGGTTTGCCTTTGTTCTTTAGTCTGGGACATTCTTTCTTCCAGTGCCCTTTTTCTCAACAAAAGGCATATTCATCTTTGCTCAATCTGGACTTTGACTTCGATCTCCCTCTCCTTCCTTTATTCTGACTCTTCGAACGACCTCTAACAACAAGAGCTTCTGCTTCAACACTTGTGTTTTCTTGTTTGTCTTTCTTTCTCAATTCATAACTATACAAGGCAGCAATTACTTCACTGAGAGACACATCAACTTTCCCATGAAGTAGAGTAGTTTCAAGATACTCAAACTCATCATGAAGTGATCCCATCAACATCAGAGCCAGATCTTCATCTTCAAAAGTAACGTCCATATTCATCAGATAAGTCACCAGCTGATTAAAGCTAGTAATGTGATCATTCATAGTGGTACCTGGTACATAGTTGAAGCGGAACAATCTTTTTTTTCATGTAAAGCTTGTTCTGACCGCTTTTCTTCAAAAATTTCTCCTCCAGTGCCTTCCACAATTTACTTACAGAAGTTTTCTTAGAAAATGCATACTTTTGCTCTCTAGAAAGACACGATCGAATAGTACCACATGTCAATCTATTGATCCTCTTCCATTCTTTCTCCTCAACATCATCTGGTTTCTCTCCTTCAATAGCAGTGTCTAAACCCTGCTGAAATAGGGCATCTAAAACCTCACTTTGCCACATGCCGAAATGACCGGTGCCATAAAAAATCTCCACTGCAAATCTAACATTTGTCACAGTTGTTGACGACGATGTGGATGTTTTTGTTACGTCTGTCATTTCTGCTACAAATTCTATTTAATAGTTGTCAATGCGGAATGCCAATTATCCCAAGGAAATTTTTTCTGATGTGAAAGATTAGCCTAAGCCGCAACCATAGAGCATACTAAAATAAACCAAGAGCTTTGATACCAATTGTTGTGAAATTCGGGTTAATTTCCACTAATAATAACAAATTCACCTTGAAAACTATTATCTAGGAGACTAGTGTAAAAACGATTGTACTAAAAATCACACCAATGTAGATTCCCAGGAAAGAGGAGGGGTCACAATGGTCCCTCTTAAAACCCACTTTCCTTAGACAGAACTACCAAGACAAGTAATTTTAATAGGATAATAATCAACAACAACTATACCCGACAATAGCTATTAAATAGACATTAAAAGAGAACACCAAAATTTAACGAGGTTAGGCCAAAATTTTACTTACCTCCTCGAACATTACTAAAATAATATTTCACTAATAGAGGAAATATTACAAAGAGAGAAAGAGTACAAATAGCCTTTAATAGTGAAGAATGCTTATATTTGTGGGATGATAAACTAAGGAGGAGGAGGGCTCTATTTATAACAAAAGAATTTCCCCTCCTCCTTATACAAAATCAATATGAGATATTTGCCAAAAACCAACAGCCAACTTGTTGATTTAATAAAAAATGAGTACGCCATCTGAAACTCGCACAGTTGAGTCATCAACTCTCCGTACTATGGACCAAAACATCCTTGTAAGGCCCAACATGTATCTTCTCAAAGCTATCGGCCTAATACGAAAGCCTTGTTGAACGACCCAAGTGACACTTCGATGTGGTGCGTGCCTACTGCCTCCAATCGGGTTCTCAATACTCTCACTCAACGACGCTTTCATTAAACTCAACTCAATATCATATTTAAGTTATTAAAATGTTAATTCGATTCTATTTTTATTATTAAACTAGAATATCTTAAATAAATCAAACAATTTAATCTGAACTCATCAAAAGCCGAAGGAATATGAACATTCCAACCCCGAGCAATGCATGTTTAAGCCGCCGCAAGGTGTCAAGTGGAAGACATTTATATGTGATTGCAATCTTCACCTGATTTAGAGCCGTCGTAGCATGTGAGCTGATTCCTAAAGCCTCAAAAGGATGACTTCCTTTGGACGCCATTTCCAAAAGTTTTGATGACCATTTACGTCCTCTAAAACAAACACAAACTATCATGCCTTTCATACGCAACAGCTACCTCTATGGACCCCATGCATTTATTTACCTACACATCATTCATTTCACTCTCATGCATTAACTAATTATTTATAAAGTGGAAAGTAAACCTTTATTTTTCTTTTTCAGATAATGTTCGTGAAGACGGCTTTGCCCATTTGTCTTCACCCCCGTCTTCTTCTACTTCTACTTCAAGACAACACAATAATTGGTTACCATAGCTGAATGTATCGGACAAGTATCACTTCAAATTACTCCTTCTATCTTTAAACGAATCAATTTTGTCATTTATATCATAAAAGTAATTTAAGGTAGTCACTAACTATCATTTAGATTTTGTATTGGTTATTCAATTATTTTTTTTAAAATCATCACTAACGTTACATTTTGGTTGTACAACATTTAAAAAAATCGGTGATTATGACATGTCACCATAAGATAATATCATGTCATCATCTTTGATCACAAGAAATTGTTGCAGAGAAAACCTGATGTTAAATAATTATGGAATACTTTAAATACACACACATATCGTTTTTAACTACTGAACTAAAGACCTTTTGTTATGTTGAAGCGTCGTTTTATGATATTGAATCATACAACAACTTTTTTAGTTAATGCAGTGGGTGTTTCCAAACATTGCATTAATACAACACTAGTTTCATTTCATAAGATTTGCCCATATTTACATGATTAGTTTTAATTTTGAAACTCATTAACTGTTTGTCTTAACCTTATGTAAATTAATACAACAATTTCTAAGACTTGCATTGAGTCGAACAACTTAATTATGTCTATGCATTTAGATATATACATAGAGAGTTGAAGGATTTTTCTATCATCTTAATTTTTTTTTAAATATTTATCAATTTAAATTCAAGTTGAAATAAACTTTTATCTTCACTATTTTGTAGGATTAAATATTAAAAATAAAATTTGTTATTTTAAATTTAAATAAATTTATTTTATAATATGTAATTCAATTTTATCAATTTGTATATTATAAGTAAATATAATATATTTAAATATAAATTTATTAAAGTATAAAAGTATAGTTATATCATGTGATTGATGGGTCCAAGAGCAAGGACGTAATTAAACTCATGATCAAAAACGAATTGTCCCTCTCAACTACTTATCACGGATAGTCACGTAGATCAAATATTTTGTTTAGAAATCATCAATATGATCTGAAATATTTTTTATATTTTGATATGTTTTACATAAATTTTTCTAATAATATACAGCATATTAATCAGAGACGGAGGGCTCTTGGGGGCAAGGGGTCACAGTTTCTGTTGGGATTTTTAATATTTTTTGTTCTAATAGGAGTCGTAAAAAATTATTGTAATTTTTTTTATCTTAATAGAAGTCGTAAAAAAATTGTAGTGTAATTGTATAAGGATTGTAATCTTTGTATTTCCAACTTACAATATTGTGAAAAACAAAAAGAAAACATTTATTTCTCTTAAAGTTGTTAGAAAGATTCGTTCTTTGTTAAGATTAAATTTTGGTTACGTCCTTGAGATTAACTATTACTATAAAATATCAATAACTTATTTTATTTAACCAACAATAAATTGATATAGTGGGGTCATGCACTATATTCTTTTAGTAAAATCAGGGATTCGAGCGTTGATATTTGCAAGTGGAGTAAATTAAAATGGAACAAATTGAATCGAGAGGATTGTCTTTACTAGTTACCTCTATAGTTCCTGATCCAAATTAAGCAACATCAATGATTATAAAAACATTTATTTCTCTTAATTTTTTTAATATTATTATAATTAATTATTAATCATAATGTTTTTCGTTAAGTGCGTTAAAATGAGGTTTTTTAGAAAAGCATTAAAATTTTTGAAAAAAGTAAAAATAAAAATAAAAAATAATTTCAAAAATACCTTAAAAATTAGTAAAATATAAAAAATAATTTAATTTATATTCATATGAATAAATTTTAATAGGAATAAGTTATATTTATTAGTTTTAGACATAAAACCATATATTTCCATTCATACAATAGCTCTGCCCGGAATCCAAAGACATGTTTTTCCACGGAGTTATGAGCTGGACTTGGACTTGTTCTATTTGGCATATGCAATGGGATGTTGACACGTGGATACTAATACGCAAACTTATTGGCAATTTGTCAGCTTTTTTATTCCCTAATTTGTTAAGGAAACCTTAAATTGAGGAGATAAGATTAAATGTAAACAAGTTTAATTTGCTAACGACACTATCGACCGTAGCTTTTGTTTCATATTTTGATTTTGTTTGCATACATTTGTCGGCTGCCATATTAATGGGCAAACATCAGGTGTTCTTTGAGCAAGGCCAGCATTGACCACGTCTCCCTTCTCAATCTCATCGTTAAGGATGTGTCCAACAACAAAAAAAATTAACCTACATTTGATTATAGAATTTTTTTTTTTTGAAAATTAGAAAACATATTAGGTTAATATCAATGAAAACTTGAATTCAAAACTAAAATAAAAATATATTTGGTATCTAATTTTCTAAAATATAAATAAAAAAGAATAATTATTAAATAATTAAATTAGATTAAAATTATTAAAAATCATTACATAAATTTAACATATGAGTTATACAAATATAAAATAATAAAGTTGATAAAAATTCCAATACACAAATTTTATTTTTAATTTAGAATAAGAATATAATGTTAATGCATATTAGACATTAATTAAATTTTAAAAATACAAAAACAATATTGTTATAACTATCCCTCACACAAAAGTGTTAGTAACATAAAACATACTACATGACAACAAACCAATTATAAACTTAATTAATAATATAAATAATATATATATATTTAAATAAACTCGAACAATATTAAAAAAATCGAAAAATAATATAAAAGTATTTTAACTTTCAAGTCTAATATTTGATCATCAGAAATAGCTCGAGTTTTTATATTCTTCCCTTTCTCCTTACAGATTCTTTAAACAGAGCATTTTCCATTCTCTTCTTTAATAGTTAAAACCTCTCATATTCCTTTCGTTTCGGCTTCTTTTACTTTGCTATAACACACCCATTATAGCTTCCCCGTCTCATTATCTTCTGGCACTTTCTTTTACTTTAACTGAATAACTTTCGTGGAAAAGTTCATCTTAAAACTTTGCTTTTTTGCATTTAAAAAAGACCTTCTTGTCTTTGCTTCTTTGGGTTTTTGACATGCAGATTCCTACCTTCCTGGTGTAGCTTGAACAACAAACTTTAAGTTCAATGTTATTATAAACCTGGTCACAAATCTTTCTCTTCTTTCAACACACCATTTCATTCTCCAAAAGATTGAAAAAAGAAGAGAAAGAAAGCTGTCTACCTTTCAATTTTGATTCTCAAGATGTTTGACTTGTTAATTAAGCCGAAGTTCTATACAAAATGGTTAGGCATACAGAACTCAGATTTTTTTCTTGCTTCTTTCATTATTTGCGTGGAGTTTTGATACTTTGGTATATTTAGTTTATCGTTTTGGTTGGATTTTTTCATGTTTTGTTTGGTTAGCAAATCGGCTATAAAGGTGATTAAGATGAGACTGGAGACTATAGAGAAGAAAAGAAATGCGGTGGAAAAGTATTTGAAGAATGACGTGGCTGATCTTCTCATGAATGGTCTCGATTACAATGCTTACAGCGGGGTAATTACTTCGATTATAATTCGATCTTTTGCTCTTTTTGCTCAATGATTCACGCTATAACTTTTTGTAACAAAGCCTGACACTTGAACTTCATAATTGTTACTTATGATGTTCTATGTTGAACTTCATAATTATAACTTTATTAATGCCCAGCAGTAATTGCAACAAAAACATTATTAGTCTATGTTGCCTTCAAGTTGTTACTTGTTTTAGCCTACTACTATATCGGTTTCTAGTTCGGAGTTTTAAAAGGGCATGTCGATCTAACATCAGAAGATTACGATTGTTCCCAATGTTTTCCTGGTCACTGTTGTCATTATGATGCATTGAGGACAAGGCAGCATTAATTTCATGACATGAACTGCTAAAGTATCAGTATTTGTACTGGCATTCATTAGGGTTCATGTGCAATGAGAGTGTAAATCGCTGTTGTTTGCTTTCAATGAGCATTAACCTATAGTTCCCTTCTTGAACCAACTTGTGCGATTAATATGCAGACCATGTTACACCTCTATTTACAAGTAATTTAAATATAGGCTTTAATTACTTGGCTCAATGTTCAACTAAGTTGGAGTCTAATAATTTCTTCATGCACATAAACATTTATCTGAGTGCGGATATATCCAAATTGAGCAATGTATGCAGGCTGAACGTCTTCTGATGGAGCAAAAGAGAACGGCTTGCTACGATCTCATAGAGCAGTTCTGCGACTCCATTTCAAAGCATATCTCGGTCATGCAAATGCACAGGTAGGTCGAGATGCTTGAATTTATAGTATTCTGTAGCCTATTCCTAATTCATAAGGACGTGGGGAAATGCTTGCATTTGATCCATAGTTTCTCTTTGAATACAGTGAATGTCCAGAGGAATGCAGAGAAGCTGTACCGTCTCTAATAAATGCTGCAGCCAGATTTGCTGATTTGCCCGAACTGCGTGATCTTAGAACCATATTTACCGAGAAATATGGAAATTCCCTAGAGGCTTATTTGAATCAAGAGGTAATAAATGGTTAACTCGAGGTCCTTTGTGGTCTTCTATTCTTAGTAATATCATCTCTGTACGTGCTAATCAGGATAATTGCTTACGTACAGTTTGTGCTGAAGCTAAAGGTGGAGCCTCCCACAAAGGAGATGAAGCTTAAATTAATGCATGACATAGCTCAAGAGTTTTCTATTGAATGGGATTCCAAGGCTTTAGAACAAAAACTGTTTAAGCCACCTCCACTAGTGCGAGTAAACCTCCGGCCTAGGACCTTATAAAACACTGCATCATGTTGCAACATGAGTGGCACAACAACTTTGAATTTGAATGCAATGCTTTTTAATTTGATGTAACAAAATACTTGTATATGACTTTTCTCGCAGAACAAGGCCCAGAACAAGTCTCCAGGTGTTGCTGATGACGATAGATACAATTTGCATAGAAACAAGAATGATACATTCGAGAGAAGCAACGACACAACTATGAAAATGGACTTAGTAATGTGCGCGAGTACAGGAGTCCAAAAAGAAATGAAACAGACCTCACTTCTCGTGGGAGAATGGAGGATACTGATGATAAGTTAAAGCTGAATAGCAGCAGTGAAGGTGAAGTGACTGATAAAGATATCCCAAAGACTAGTTCTTCGGATGGAAGTGTTTCCGAGGATGGTATAGAGAACAGGAAGCCCTCTTACTACAGGTTTGTTCCTCCTCCCTATGTAAGGCCATCACAGGGCAAAGGAGATGGCATCACGGAGGAGCCTATGGCACCGAGTGATAATATTAATAAGGTGAAAAACAATAAATGGGATGATTCCCTTGGAGAAAGTAAGCCAGAACCAATATCAGTTAGGAGAAGACCTTAGAAACCAAGATCGGCATGGAAAGGTTTAAGAGGTTTTGGAAATGGAGCTCTAAGTATTAGTTTGACATCCAAACAAACAGAAGAAGACTATAAGAGGGATGAAGAAGAGAAGAAAATGGATGAGCTTTTGATGCATTACAGCAAGAAGAAATCACCTTACGAATGGTTGAGCAAATGGAAGACAGCACTCCGAGCACCTCCTCCCGGAAGACAAGAATCTGACAACACAAGTAAAGGTTTAGCACTTCCTCCCGGGACACAAGAATCCAATAACACAACTAAAGGTCTAGCACCTTCTCCTGGAACACAAGAATCCGAAAACTCGAATAAAGGTCCAGGCGTACGAAGCACTAAAATTGACCCAAGTGCTCTTCCGGCCAGAATTGCTAGTTTCTCCAAAGAAGCAATGAGTTCGACTGAGAAAGTAGGAAGGCATACTCGAGCCTCATCATTTCAGCCACATATGCTTGCTGGGCATGTCCATCCCAAGCTACCGGATTATGATGATTTGGAAGCTCACCTTGCATCTCTAAGAAGGCAATAAAAGAATATTTATATATGCTCCTATGTGCGTCTCTGTGTGTGTATACACTATATAGAAACTAGGAGATATTAACATACACTCATAGTCTTTCTAGTAAGTTTCAGATTTGGAAGGCATTAAGGAAATGAATTTGTTCTTTCATCTATTCATTCATACCCATGTATAGATCTAGACTTGGTTATGATAAATGCATTTCACGAAAAAGTAGAAAGCTTGTATATATGGATTTGGATACATGTATAAATGGTGATATTACTATTTTTACTTGTTTATCACATACACAGATTTTGGCTGCTTTTCAATCAATGACTAGAATTTTTGGAAGATGAATTTCAGTAATCATGATTATAATTTAAAATTTATAAAAATGTATCTGTAAATAATTAATCTATTGGGTCATAAACTTTCAATTCAAGTTCAATTTAGCATTCTAATCACAAAACTGATATTTCCTTTACAAAAATAGCTTAATTGAATACTAATATTTAATTAGGACAAATAAAAGTACAAATCAAACGATCTTAGTAGTTAAAGGGGTAATTGTTATCTCTAGAGATCCCAGATTTGATCACCAACGACTCGAGATATTTGAACGTTCATCATCAAATGGTTGAGAATCTTTAATATAGATACTACTACTTATAACCATTCTAGATTAATAATTTGGCTTAAGGGACACTTTTGCCCCTGTAATAGACCTAATTTATCATTTTCACCCTTTCCATGTTTTCGCATCAATTTAATTCTCGAAGTTGTTCAACCGCATCATTCTATAACCTATCCCTAACTTAAAACTCTAAATTATAAAACCTAAACCCCACAACCTTTAAACAATAAGCCTTGTACCTTAAACCCTAACTTAGCATCACTCTATACCATACCCTCAACTTAAACCCTTAAATTATAAATCCTGAACCCCACAACATTTAAACAATAAGCCTTGTACCCTAAAACCTAACTTAGGATTTATAATTTAGGGTTTTAAGTTAGGGATATGATATAGACTGATGCAATTGATCAACTTCGAGGTTATTAATACGAAAATACGATAGAGACGAAAATAATAAATTAAGACTATAAAGACAAAAGTTACTCTTTTACCTAATAATTTTTTATAACTATTCTAGATTAATAAAAAAATAGTAAAAAATAACCCGAAAAGTATATATATTTTTTTAAGTAGAGGATATTTTTAGGGATAATATAAAATTTATTCGTACCATCGGCTCAATATAATTGCTTTAATATCCCCAACAAATTTAAAGCATACAAAACAAGCCAAACAAAAGAGCCAGTCTTTACAAAATTTGTTATAAATAAAATATTGTACCTACTCATTATGTTTGAGTCCTCCGGAAGCTAATTTTAATCTTTAGTGAGTAGCACCTTCTTGGCATAGATGATGTGCATAAGGCAATAGCCATTGATTTGTTTTTTAATTCATTATTTTCAACTTGTATACGTAAAGTTAGTGGGTTCGAAAAGTTTGCAACAACAAAACAAAGTTTAACCAAATCACATCAAAACACATTGAATAATAAATTTATACTAAAATCACACTTTAATACTTTATATCCATTAAACCTAATCTAACTTTCATTAGAAAATTCAAGGCATCTTTGATATATGAAACCAAGGCGGTGGGCCGGTAAGGGAAAATATGTCAAACTTATAATTAAATGAAACTGTGACTTAATAATCAGCTAAAATACCTTTCATTAGTCTTCATAGTTAATGCCATAGTCATACATCAAACACAATTACAAAACTAATGATATAAATAATTATTAATGTACTTCGTAAATGATTAAATAAATATATTATAATTTAAACTTTATTTATTCTTATTTAATAGTGGCTGACGTTTTATTTGTTTCAATAAATTAAAACGGTTTTTCAATATTAGTTTTTTATGATGTGATTTATTTTTATGATAAAATAAATTGGAAAAATGAAAATTTAAAAGTTATAAAACTATGTATATATATTTATAATTTTAAAATTAAAGATATTTACATATAATTCTCTTGTACTATATAAATCGATTAATTATAATTTTTTTCACTTCTATCTATAAGTATTATTTTTTTCTTATCAATTTAGTTATATTTATTTATCCAAAATCAATTACGAAACAGTGGAATAAATAAATAAACAATAAAATTAAGGTTTCATATTTAAAGCAACCCTCCATGATTGAAGTGGAAGCAAACAAAAAACCCACCTTCCTCTAAAAACTACGTTATCTTTCTTTTTAAAAAAGCACTCACTCCCAGCTGGTCCAAAGCAAACTCTCAAAAACACAAGGCCAAAGTCAAATGACTCTCTCAAAACTCGAACAACCATCACCGCCACAAGAACCACCGTCGCCATCCCACTATTACACTGCTTTATCACCTCAACCTCCTGATAAAAACCACGTCGTTTTGCCCTACTACTCCACGAGAGGACGGCTCCGCTGGTATGGCTGTCGGAGACTATGCACCGGCACCGCTTCCTTGGTCTTGTTGGTTACCTTGGTGTACATTTTCTGGCCCTCCGATCCAACCATTAAAATCGTAAGGATGCATGTGAACCACATGAAAATCCATACCGTACCCATCATATCGTTGGATGTATCCATGCTGATTACGTTGAAAGTGAGGAATTCCGACGTGTACTCCATGGACGTCACCAGCTTGGACGTTGCCGTCGGGTACAGAGGGAAGATGCTGGGACACGTGACGTGGGAGCATGGTCATGTGAGGGCGATGGGGTCTTCTTATGTGGAGGCGCGGCTTGAGCTTAAAGGGGTTGAGGTGTTGTCGGATGTTTTGTATTTGCTGGAGGATTTTGCCAAAGGAACTGTCCCGTTTGATGCTGTTACGGAAGTCACCGGCTCTCTCGGTCTGTCATTATTTAAGTTCCCTTTGAAGGTAAAAAAGCTACATCTTTTTCTTTTTATTTAATTATTATATTTGCTTTTATGATTACCCAGTCGGCCCTCCCACAAACTTTTTAAGTCTTCCCCCCAATTTTTTAAATTCATTTTCAGGTCCTTATTATTTTTGGGTTCCTATCATTTTGGGTAAATTAAGCTTTAAGGTTTGCCCTTCTTCATGTTTGGGTGTAATGTGGATTGACACAATATGATTTGCTTTATTGTAAGGGAAAGAAAGAAAGAAAGAAGGGTAAAAGCAACAAGCCATTGAGGCTGATCTATACCAACTTACCATCTGACTGAACAAAATGATGAAATTATTGCTTAAGTTCATCAAATTAACCCCCTGTTTTGAGTGGAATGGGAGTCGATCATCAAGCATTAATGTTTTACAATAAGAAACACCGTTTCTTCCGGCTTTGTAAGTTCAGTCTTTAAATTCTTTTTATTGTGTAATATTCAACAGGCAAAGGTCTTGTGCGAGATCGTGGTACGCAGAATTAATCAGACTGTTATTCGTCAAAACTGCTACCCTCAGGTATAGATAGAAATAAATAATTCATACATGTATCGTGTTAATCACATTTAAATTATTTCCGGAGAATTTTGTTTCGAAAATTGTTTTCATGTTTCTAGAAATGAAGCTTGGAAGCGATGATGCTGGAAACGAACTCAAATGCATTGGGTTGAGTTGGATTGGATCGCGAGAGACGTGTGAAAGCTGAATGATTCACGAGTGTCCCAGAACCATATTTGTATGTACATCTTGAAACAAGTTTTTGTGCAGCATTTCGTGATATTAAGTAATATAGACGAATATGTGTATAAAAATGGATTCTCCGATATGTATAAAATGTAGATTTTCACTGAATTTCCTTTTTCTTGCGTTCCATCATTAAATATATAACATCAGTATTATAAAATATAATCTCATGAAAAAAAACTAATCAGAGCTCACATTTTTATTACTAAAATGATCACATGCCAAGCAATGAAAAGCATTATCAAACTGTATTTTGATCACGATCACATCACATTCCTAGATTTTTTTATTGGAGCATCCCGTCGAGTTACATTATGTATTCCGTTACAGACATGTTATTTGATATTTTTTATATATTTAATCGATTTTTAAATTATTGTATTTTCATAGACAAAATCACACATAAAAGGAAAAGGAAGGCCGCTCTGGTTGGGCCCTGGATCCGAAACCTATAATATATTTGAAGCTATTTTGTCGCGGGAATTAATTATTTGTTTTCAAAGAGCATTTTTATTAATCACGGGTACATGATTAGTCTTAATGACGTTCGAAAGAATAATAAAAGCATGGAAATGCAATTCTAAATTTCTGATCAAATCTCGACAGTTCGAATCAGCTAAATGTAGCTGTATTATTTATATAAATCAATAATTATAGACAAAGGGAACATTAATAAGCCTACCATCACATGCATCATAATTTCAGGATCAAATATTGCAACGTCAAATTAAGCCTGATATTTTGGTTTATCTTTTGAAACATAAAAGAATCCTATTATTAGCGCATCATAGGTTTTTACTTGAGAAGCATTGTCTATATAAGTAGTACCCTAGTGCATTAATCCATAGGTGCTTTTACATTCCTGCCTGAACAAGGCTTGAAAAAGCAGAACCCCCACCATGGAAGTTAGCAAGTTATGCTGCTCGGGCATCCAGGAGTTGAGATGGAGGAGTACCCGCTACGACCGGATGCTTTCGATCAATGTATTGGCGAAGACCACGTCAAAGCTGCCGAGGTGGAGGCTGCTATGGCGGAAGTTGATGAGGGAGAAGAAGAAGATCTATATTTGTTCATCCAGGAGTACTACTGGGGTGCTTAATGTTTCTTATGATCCTCATACATATGCACAGAATTTTGATCAGGGTTTGATCTCAGCTGATCCTGATGACTTCTCCAGGTCTTTTTCAGCTCGGTTTGCTGTTCCCTCAAGGGTTTTTGACAACACCGGATTCATAGGTTGATCCATTTGTTGAGCCAAGAAAAAGAATATATATATATATTACTTTGATATGATCAATCTATTAATGTAAAGATTCACTATGTTTTCAATGTTTGGTCATGTTAATTAATGAAAACATCCACTTTTCTCCCTCAACTTCTTGTTTAGCATTTTATTTCTTCATCTGATCTTTCTGTGGAGTTGTGGGATAGGAGAAGGGACTGCAAATCGAATCTGTTTACCAATGTGGATTAAACCCTGGATTCATCACCTTCTCTCTTTGCTCATAAGAAACTAAAGATGCGTGATAACATTTCACTTGCCTGAGCCTTTTAGTGTTGAAGAAGTTGAAGCAAACCCAGTCTGGCAAAAGGAACCCTGTAGAGCCTATTTTTCATTTTGTATTCTTTAGATTTAAGTGATACTGGCAAGTGGCAATATATTATAAGTGATTAACAAAATAATTTTTAATATTCAAATGTGCATTATTCCACTACTTTTCTGTAGCTACCAGCCGCAGGGATGCTTTTGGGAGAAAATAATAATAATAAGTTGGGGTGGTTTGGAAACTGAACATTATAAATCAACTAACAAGTTTTTGTAATGAATAAGAACATTGTTATAACTTATAACAGGTTTAGCTGCTCATTTAATCTTTAAATAACGAACACTACAAACTTTCTGCAATGTTCATGCGAATAAGAAAATTATTTTAATAATGCTGATCAAGTATATGGTCAGTTTGAGAACAGCTGGTTTAAAGTCCTTTTCATACATCTGAAATAGTTCTTTTCCCCCAATATTTTAAGAATAAATTGCATCTTACTTTTGGAGATATATTCTTCTGGTAGATATGGATAATAGTATATAAACAAATAAATGGAGCAACCATTAGATAAGGACCCAAATGTCTCCTTTTGCAATAGTTTAAGGTCACATCTTACAGAGTTAGAAATGCAAAATAAGGCACAACATGTGGAGCCTAAAGACATCCACTGCGGGAATATATGATTCTATGTCATTAATCATCCAGCCACAACATGTGGCCTGCCTTTATGACTTCAATTATTATACTAATTCATGGGTCATCACACTCTTCTTGAAATGAAGAAGATATTTCTTGAATTTCAGTCAAAAAAATTAGTTAATCAATTTTAAAAATATATATATTTTTTCAACAGATTTAAAACCTGAGTAACTTTTAAAATTAATTTTAATAATGGGAGGGTGATTGTCAACGATTAAATGAATTGTGCATCGATTTCTTTGCAAATAATACATAGCTTAGGCTGTCCAAATAATTAAATCCTTGGCTCCGCCTCCACAATCAGGATGAATTCCTCGATCTAATATTTTTTTTTTTGAAGTAAAGCATACTGATCAGACTCTGATTTAGCTACCACAACTTTCCTCCAAAGGCTGTCAGGTTCATTCCCAAATCGCGATATCCATTTGTTCAGCAACGACCGATTTTTGAGATGAAGATTCATGAAACCCAGTCCGCCTGAATGTTTTGGTTTGCACAAATTATCCCACTTCACCGAATAGATGGCTCTGTCGTTATACAATCTCCCATAAAACACTCGCGGTCAGCTTGTTAAGCTTATCTACAATAACAATGGGCATTTGGAAAAGCGATAGAAAATAAGTCGGTAAATTTACGAGTACTGATTTGATCAATGTTATTCTGCCTCCAACAGAAAGCAACTTTCCTTTCCACTCGGCCAGCCTCGCTGAGAAGTTATCCAAAATGAGCTTCCAAAGATCAATAGAATTTCTCGATTTCCCCAACGATAAACCTAGATACATAGATGGAATCGAACCCTAGTCGCAGCAAATTTTGTAACACCTTACATCAGCTAATTAACCAACAAATTTCCTTTTATCATACTCACTTGAAATTAAAGTTTCATGTGTAAAAACTTGCAATAAAATAGATAATAGAATCCATATAAAAATAGTTTACAGTCAGGAGCTCCCACAATTACAAAATAAATCAAAATATACAAACCAAATATTTAAAACAATTTACGACTCAAATTTACAAAATAGAAACTTTGAATATACATGCCTTCTAGAAAATTGAGACGTACTCTGCTCTGTTGTTTGGTCTGGATTTCTTCTAGTCAAAAGGCTCCTCCACTGATCTTCACCGTAATCTACGTAAGGAAACAAATTTCAAACGCTGAGCTAACTAGCCCAGTGCCACACTAACAATTAAAATATACTAATAGGGGTACATTTTCAACATGCTTTAATAACTGAAAACAATTCAATGCATCATCAATACAACATTAGTGAGTATCCTTACGATACTCACTCTCTACGCTATGGTAGACATCATAGTGCTACTCAGGGATTTCTACATCTCGGAGCTCATACAACCCTCTAGTCTACTGAGGATATGGCCCCCGAAATTCTACATCAGACACCATACCCCCGACTAGTCCACTCCTCACGAGTGTTGGAGCGCCCTAGCTAATCAGTTTTAAGGGCCTTGCGCCTTACCTATGGATATCCGGATTGCATCTATATTTTTGACACCCTAAACTAGAGAAACTTGGGTGTCCAAATTGTTTCTGGAGCATCAACCAAGGCTAGTTTTATGTCGCCCTAATTATTTGGTTTCTATGTTTGAAATAAATATCGTAAATATTCTCACTTGTAGTATTATTTGATAATATACTGAAATATTGGGGTACCTCAGATCAAATTCCCTTAAAAACGATCATTTTCCCCAAAACAAGCTGAAAGTATCGATACTAGCCCAAGAGTATCGATACTCCTGCAAAAGTTTCAATACTTTATATAAGTATCGATACTTTTAAACATTCTGTTCTGTCTAGTTTCGATACTTTCTGGGAGTTTCAAAACCATGACCCAAAGTTTCGATACTCTTGAAAGAGTATCAATACTTCTGCCCAGAAAACACATTTCTACCTATAAATGAAGAACAAGTATCAATACTAGCCCTATAGTATCAATACTCAACCTGTATAAGACTTAAAAACAAGCACAAAAATGCTATATCTCACTCCCAAATACCCTTGTGAGGTCCCCAAACATGCTTAAAGTCTTATTTGTCATAAAAAGGGCATAAATAAGGCTTATATCATGCTTAAAATTTCAAAACATAAAATCTACCATTGATATTCTAAATAAGCTTATTTCTTACCTTCATGTTATTCAATACATTAACATGGCCTACTAAGAGTATAGAGAAGTTGTAAGTGTGGATACCTTGATTTCTAGGCCAAAAGCAAAGCTCCAACTCACTCAATGGAAGTTTTATCCTTCCTTTTTTGTCTTGGAGGCTTCACCCACTTATTTCACTAATCAAAGATAAGAAAAAGAAGTTTCTAAATTAACTATATAATGAAAATAAGGATTAGAATACTTCTAATATCCTAAATCTAACAAAAATGACCTAGAATCCTTGGATTTATTAAACTCTCAAAAATCCATTTTGGAAACCATAGAGGAAAAATTGCAAAATGAGGCTTAAATTAAAGCTTGAAGAATGGTGATTCATAATCTTACCTTGGCTCAAGCTAACTAAGATTGGATTGCTTGAAACTAGCTCTTGAGAGGAAGGGAAATGGAAAATGTTAGAAGGAAGAAAGAGAAGAGTATTTGTTAAGATAGTTTTGGGTTTGGTTCAAGTGAAAAATATAAAAACAAGGGGGAAGATTTTCAGCTGAAATAAAATGGGTAAACTACACTTTAAGTCCCTATACTTTCAAGCCCATATGAATATCATCACCTTACATAAGTCTTTTGGGCCCAACCCAACCCAAATCCACTTAGCCTTGGTCTAAGATATTTTTTAATAATTATTTTGGGCTCTAAAATGGGTCTCGAGTTGACCCGAACTACTAACCTAGGTTTCGGGTCGTTACAGATTTCTTCTGCCCGATAACGGATACAAGAATAAACAATATTTACTTCATATAATTTTGTCTTGCTCAAATTTAAACTAATCCAGAGGCTACTTCGAAAACTCATAAGAGTCTTTTGATATTTTTTACGGAGTCCGACTTATCATCTAAAAAATAATTAAGTCATCTTCGAGCTGGATTTGGGACACACTCAACCCACCTGAACCGACCAAATCACCTTCAAACTGTCTCACTTCAGATGCTTTATGAAAACAACCACTCAGAGCTTTTCCAATAAGATTAAATAGGAGCGGCAAAAAAGGACACCCCTGACGGAATCCTTTTTTGATCTTGAAATTGTTCGAAGGAGGCCCATTAACCAATACTGAAATAGAAGCGGTTGATATACACCTCTGAATCCATTTGCGCCCTCTAACTCGGAACCCCATTATCTCCATAAAAAAGTCCAAAAAGTATTAATTTACAAAATCAAACACCTTTTTTAAATCTGCCTTAAAGACCATCGCTTTCCTCTTCCTTTTTCTTTAAATCATCGATTACCTCATTAGCTATAAAAGAACAATCAATAGTCTGTCTTTCTTTGATAAACACAAACTGCGAATCCCCCATCACTTCGTTTATACACCCCACAAGTCTACTTAACAAAACCCGAGTCAAGATTTTGTAGAGGCTTCTCACTAAAGAAATAGGTTTGTAGTCGTCAATACTCTCAGGTGGCGTTTGGTTCGCAGGAATCCCTTGGAATTAGGGGGAATTGGAATCTAATTCCACCACTTTCCCATGTTTGGTTCAAGTTTTCAAAGGGAATTGGAATCCCTCATGACTTCAACTTTCCATCAAATGAGGGAAAGTTAATTCCATCAATTCTATGATGGAATTCAATTCCCTTGTTGGAGGGAATTGAAATTTGACCATACTACCCTCATCAATCTTTTGGTAACTTATTCATATATTGAATAAAAATATTTTTTTATTATTTCGGGTCGGGTCGGGTTTCTAATTCATATATTCGGGTCGGGTGAAACTTTATTTTGGTCGGGTCGGGTCGGTTTTTTTAAGTGTGATATTCGGGCCGGGTCGAGTTCAGGTTTAGGTTGAAAAATACCCGACCCGAAAATATATA